TGGGGGGTGGAGTGTGGAGGGGAAGAGCCTTGCATCTTCTTGCTTCTAGGGAAGCATCTAAAGGAACACGTATAACACAGTATCTATTATCCTTATTTACATCTTCTGATAAGGTAAATCTCAAAAGTCATGTACTGCTCTCAGGATGTTGTCTGAATGAATTACATGACAGAGAAAAACTGCAAAAAAAAAAAACTGCCCATGCTGAAGAGCGGAACAATTCTTTTTTATCATATTTACACACGATCAAGGGAAAAGCAATACGTCAACCATTTGTCCCACAGCCAAAAATATGAATGGATCACGGAACCCTGAAGATTTAGAGTCTGATGGATTTTATAGTGCTTTGCACCAGTTGTGCATTCAGATCACACTACCTAGAAGGAGCTTCTCCACCAAGTTCAGATACCAGGCTTTGGCACAATCTATCACAATGGTAGGTCTCAGCCTAGAAAATTTGGGAAGTAAAACCCAAAGCTTGCCTTTGGCTTCCAAAGGAAATAGGTAGCAAGTACACTATACTAAAAAAATGCCACAAATTTAACAATAACTTACCGAGAGAAACTCAAATGTCTGTTCTCCATAAAGTCGGTTAGCAGTTCTCAGTATATATTTGGTGTTTGGATCATTAATTTCAGAGAGAAGTGATTGATACCCATTGTGAGCATCCTCAGCTTTGTTCAGAGAAAGTACCTGTAGAAAGACAAACATCCTCAGAGGAGTCCATGACTTCTCTAAACACACTTGCTTCAGCACTTTTTTTTTTTTTTAAATGACTTTTGAGTTTAAAAACTGTGATTTGAAGACAAAAGATTTTTCATCACACCTCCCATCTGGAACTTATCATGCAAGTCACATATGACACAACCAGCCAAATGTTGTACAAGTAATAAATTAGGGTGCAGAAGAGTCAGCAGTATTTAGGTTCCCTCACTCAAGCCAAGCATTAGAGGATCACAGAATGGTTGAGGTTGGAAGGGACCTCTGGAGGTTATCTGGTAAAACCCCCCCGCTCAAGCAGGACCACCTAAAGCCAGTTGCCCAGGGCAGTGTCCAGACAGATTCTGAGTATCTCCAAGTATGGCAATAATATAACATAACTTTGGAGAAACTTTTATAGATTTAAATGAAAACAAAGTATGTGTTTATATTTGTCTCCACTTTGCAAAAGAGGCAAACATAATAACAAAAGTGACTGATTATGCATTTAATACTGTCAATTACATATGTAAAAAATATGCCAAGTGGTATTTGCCACCTGAGCAAGTTTAAAAAAAATTAAAGCAAGGTGCAGCTACCATTCTGACATGCATACAGGATGGATTTTAGATTTTTTTTTTTATGTGCCTGGCTACATTTTCAAAACACGTATAGTCTAATATTAAGCCCAAAGAAGATAGAATATTTTATGTAGCTAGAGATTCATCAAACCTACAAACCTAAAAAAAAAAAAAAAAATCCTAGGTACCTCTTAATTGAAGGAAGATCTCTCCCTGTCAAATACCAAAAGCACAAAAACCCCCCACACAACAAAAACCAGGAACCTCTTAATTTCATGCTGAAGGAAGATCCCCCTATAAAAACAGTTACTGCTTACATACATACTAAAGTAAGACCTCTGCTCTCCGAGACCAGAATGACAATAATAGTTTAGCATAAGTGCAGGTCACAGACATGACCACAGATTTGTTGTTCATATGGTCCCAAATTCAATACACCAAGTTTATTTAGACATACCTTTGCTATTTGAGCTTCGGTGTTACCTTTTGAACCCAGCAAAATCATAGACAACGCAGAAGAAATACTAAAAGGAGAAAAGAATAGATTCTGCCCGCTTTTGTTCTCACACAGCTTTCTTAAGAGGTCGAGTGCAAAAGTGGTATTTGCTGCACGGAGGCTATCCATGGTTCAGAGCCTGAGAGATAAAACACAAAACAAGAACAGCTCAAATATATTTGAATACAAACTGGAAAGTTATTTCTGTCTTTTATATTTCTCAGTATGAACTATGCAGCACGTGTCATAATTAGGCTAGAAAATTATTATCTCACTGAAAAACTGATTTGGTGGAACAAGCACCTTAAATCCCGTACTAGGCACTTGAGTCACTTTAGGGATTTTTTGTTTGCTTTGCTATTTCAATCCCATACCTGTAACAGAGACAGCAATTCCCAACGGTGTCATTAGACTCTTCACTGGGTAAATAATATTACATCTTTTGAAATTATCACATACAACAATATTTTGTTTAGGATTTATTAAAACAAGTCTCTTTTGACTTCACAGAGACAATTATTTGTCTTTATAGGAAAACCAGAGCAAAAAGTTAGGCATCAGAATGGCAGAATTATAAACTCTTACCTTCTCTAAATCTATGTATCTTCAGTGTACCTTCAGCTTACTTGTATGTGTGCACGCTGTGTTTTAAACCTAACAGCCAGTCTGGTAGAAGTAAGTGGAATGATTTGACCTACAAGATTAAAAAAGAAAAGAAAAGAAAAAAGTTATTTCATCAGCAGGACAGATTACTGTAATTCCCTGCTGTAGTACAAAGAAAAATCAAAGTCCATTTCAGTTCCATTTTACTGCCTATGACACAAACACACACAGTAAAGAGACCTGCTTATGGATGACTTTATGGTACTTTATTTACACTTCAGTATGTGTAACTTGATGCCTGTCATACTCTATATACATCACCTGTGTCAGTAGTTAACTAATCTAAGATTAAACCACACACCTATAAAAGGAGCAATAAATACTAGAATGCTGAGTTAACTACAGATAAGTATCACTAAACATCGTAAGATATCAGCTGGTAGTAAAGGTTTCCGTGGGTTTTTTTCCCCTTAAGGCACTGCCTAGTGTTTATATATTGCTACAAAATACAAAACCAACACCTAACTCATATTACTAATTCATTATCTCAAACAAATAAGTGGAAAGAACAAGTTTCTGCATGCATGATTTTCCACCTAAGAAAATTTCTTGCTAGTAGCTTCGCAATAAATAGTAGTAACTTTCCTCCTGTTTCTCTTCTCCCATAACTGAAAGAAAAAAAAAAAAGGCAAGCTTGGATGGAAATAATCCTCCAATTCTGTCTGAAATGATTCATTTAACTACATGTACTTTACAGCATGAGTAGGAAGCACTTAGTATTTTCAGTTCATGTTGGTTGCAATGAAGACCAGAATTTTGCTACTGTTCTGATACCTGTCAGATTGCTAGCAAGAAGGTTTTTTGACCTGGAGGTCAAAACGCACAGGAACAGTGACAGCAGCAAGCAGTATTATCTAGAAAGTTTTTGTAGGGCTTCCATGACAGACAAGAATTTACAGACAAAAGGACACAACTCATACTATTTGCCTACCTGAAAATCAGTGCATTTAACAAAATTGTAAGTAATATTTCAACAGCTGGGACACAAGGCTAGGAGTTATATCTCTACAGTTATCCATGCTTTCTCTGCAGCTCATGAACAGCAATGTAACTACTGATACCCTTCTCATCAGAGCGGTTTTGGAAAGAATACAGAATGACTGCACAAAAATGGAACAAAAACCGTACAATACAAGTACATATTTGTCAGTCGATTGTGAACTACTTGCTGCAAAACCCTCAGTGATCAGAGGACTTGCCCACAGTAACTCATTCCTCACTCTGGTCTCCCCATGGGCTCTGTAGGTCAGTGGTGAGGCACTCGCACGGAGGTTTCTGGATGCACTGGCCCTGTGTATTCCTACTACTATGAATTCGAAGCATATATTCTCAGTGGTAGACACCTATGCTTTAGGACAGTCTTTATGGACAGAAAGGCTGCACCTAGATTAAACAGCAGATACACACTGCAGCATCTCCCCCAACTACCAGTTTTGCCATGCGGGAACCTGGCCAGAGCAGGGTGCAGCCATCCCCCAGCCTGCAGCTGAAGAGACACATCCCACCAAAACTACAACACAGATTAACACCTGGTATATGTGGATGCCTCCCCACCTCAGCTCAGCTGCCTCAGAGGAATCACAAGCCAACTGTTTCAAATGCAAGCAAAGGGGGAACTCAGGGTGGTGAACATCAGGCATCCATCTCCACAGAGGAAGCTGTGGCTGCAGCACAGAGGCCCCTTTTCCCGTCCCCTGAACCAAAGCATGCTTTCTTGAGAGAAAGGGGTGCCATTCAGAATTTGGAGAGTTGGGAGTGATGTTAAAACACTGGCAGGGTAAGATCTCTGGCAGCTCCAGGTAACAGCTCCCCACCTCGCCAGGGGCAGGCGGTGGGACACGGGGGATGATGGAGCCCTGCAACTGCCCAGCACTGCCGGCTCTCGCCCCCATGTACCTCAGCAGGAGCGGGGAGGGGCAGGAAGGAACCCCAAAGATCCGACGCTGTCCCAGTACACTCAGGCACAAGAAGCCAAGGGTTTAGCACTCATCAGGGCATAGGCTGGGGAATAGGAAAGGAGCGAAAAGACCCTCCTCCACCCTCGCACTGGACTTGGCCCCATGAAACACGGAAAAACTCAACA